TAATACTGGGAGACTTTAACACCCCACTGTCAATATTAGATCAATGAGACAGAATGTTAACAAGGATATCCAGGACTTGAACTCAGCTCTGCAGCAAGCAGACCTAATAGACATCTACAGAACTCTCCACCCCAAATCAACAAAATGTACATTCTTCTCAACACCACATAGCACTTATTCCAAAATTGACCACATAGTGGGAAATAAAGCACTCCTCAGCAAATGTAAAAGAACAGAAGCCACAATAAACTGTCTGTCAGACCACAGTGCAATCACATTAGAACTCAGGATTAAGAAACTCACTCAAACCTGCACAACTACATGGAAACTGAACAACCTGCTCCTGAATGACTACTGGGTACATAACGAAATGAAGGCAGAAATAAAGATGTTCTTTGAAACCAATGAGAACAGAGACACAATGTACCAGAATCTGGGACACATTTAAAGCAGTGTGTAGAGGGAAATTTATAGCACTAAATGCCCACAAGAAAAAGCAGGAAAGAACTAAAATTGACACCCTAACATCACAATTAAAAGAACTAGAGAAGCAAAAGCAAACACATTCAAAAGTTAGCAGAAGGCAAGAAATAACTAAGATCAGAGCAGAACTGAAGGAGATAGAGACACAAAAACCCTTCAAAAAATCAATGAATCCAGGAGCTGGTTTTTTGAAAAGATCAACAAAATTGATAGACCACTAGCAAGACTAATAAAGAAGAAAAGAGAGAAGAATCAAATAGGCGCAATAAAAAATGATAAAGGGGATATCACCACCAATCCCCCAGAAATACAAACTACCATTGGAGAATACTGTAAACACCTCTATGCAAATAAACTAGAAAATCTACAAGAAATGGACAAATTCCTGGATACGTACACCCTCCCAAGACTAAACCAGGAAGAAGTTGAATCTCTGAGTAGACCAATAACAGGCTCTGAAATTGAGGCAATAATTAATAGCCTACCAGCCAAAAAAAGTCCAGGACCAGATGGATTCACAGCTGAATTCTACCAGAGGTACAAAGAGGAGCTGGTACCATTCCTTCTGAAACGTTTCCAATCAACAGAAAAAGAGGGAATCCTCACTAACTCATTTTATGAGTCCAGCATCATCCTGATTCCAAAACCTGGCAGAGACACAACAAAAAAAGGGAATTTTAGACCATTATCCCTCATGAACATCGATGTGAAAATCGTCAATAAAATACTGGCAAACCAAATCCAGCAACACATCAAAAAGCTTATCCTCCATGATCAAGTTGACTTCATATCTGGAATGCAAGGCTGGTTCAACATATGCAAATCAATAAACTTAATCCATCACATAAACAGAACCAATGACAAAAACCACATGATTATCTCAATAGATGCAGAAAAGGCCTTCGACAAAATTCAACAGCCCTTCATGCCAAAAACTCTCAATAAACTAGGTGTTGATGGAACGTATCTCAAAATAATAAGAGCTATTTATGACAAACCCACAGCCAATATCATACTGAATGGGCAAAAACTGCAAGCATTCCCTTTGAAAACTGGCACAAGACAGGGATGCCCTCTCTCACCATTCCTATTCAACATAGTGCTGGAATTTCTGGCCAGGGCAATCAGGCAAGAGAAAGAAATAAAGGGCATTCAATTAGGAAAAGAAGAAGTCAATTTGTCCCGTTTGCAGATGGCATGATTGTATATTTAGAAAACCCCATCATGTCAGCCCAAAATCTCCTTAAGCTGATAAGCAACTTCAGCAAAGTCTCAGGACACAAAATCAATGTGCAAAAATCATGAGCATTCCTACACACCAATAACAGACAGAGAGCCAAATCATGAGTGAACTCCCATTCACAATTGCTACAAAGAGAATAAAACATCTAGGAATCCAACTTTCAAGGGATGTGAAGGGCCTCTTCAAGGAGAACTACAAACCTTTGCTCAAGGAAATAAAAGAGGACCCTAACAAATAGAAAACATTCCATGCTCATGGATAGGAAGAATCAATACCATGAAAATGGCCATACTGCCCAAGATAATTTATAGATTCAATGCCATCCCCATCAAGCTACCAATGACTTTCTTCACATAATTGGAAAAAAACTGCTTTAAAGTTCATATGGAACCAAAAAAGAGCCTGCATAGCCAAGACTATCCTAAGCAAAAAGAATGAAGCTGGAGGCATCACTCTACGTGACTTCAAACTATACTACAGGGCTGCAGTAACCAAAACAGCATGGAACTTGTACCAAAACAGAGATATAGACCAATGGAACAGAACAGAGCCCTCAGAAATAACACCACACATCTACAGCCATCTGATCTTTGACAAACCTGACAAAAACAAGAAATGGGGAAAGGAGTCCCTATTTAATAAATGGTGCTGGGTGAACTGGCTAGCCATATGTAGAAAGCTGAAACTGGGTACCTTCCTTAGACCTGATACAAAAAATTAATTTAAGATGGATTAAAGACTTAAATGTTAGACCTAAAACCATAAAAATCCTGGAAGAAAATCTAGGAAATACCACTCAGGACATAGGCATGGGCAAGTACTTCATGACTAAAACACCAAAAGCAATGCAACAAAAGCCAAAATAGACAAATGGGATCTAATTAAACTAAAGATCTTCTGCACAGCAAAAGAAACTACCATCAGAGCGAACAGGCAACCTACAGAATGGAAGAAAATTTTTGCAATCTACCCTTCTGACAAAGGGCTAATATCCAGAATCTACAAATAACTTAAACAAATTTACAAGAAAAAAATAACAACAACCTCATTGAAAAGTGGGCAAAGGATATGAACAGATACTTCTCAAAAGAAGACATTTATGCAGCCAAGAGACAGAAGAAAAAATGCTCATCATCACTGGCCATCAGAGAAATGCAAATCAAAACCACAATGAGATACCATCTCACACCAGTTAGAATGGCAATCATTAAAAAGTCAGGAAACAACAGATGCTGGAGAGGATGTGGAGAAATAGGAATGCTTTTACACTGTTGGTGGGACTGTAAGTTAGTTCATCCATTGTGGAAGACGGTGTGGCGATTCCTCAAGGATCTAGAACTAGAAATACCATTTGACTCAGCAATCCCATTACTGGGTGTATACCCAAAGGATTATAAATCATGCTACTATAAAGACACATGCACATTTATGTTTATTGCGGCACTATTCACAATAGCAAAGACTTGGATCCAATCCAAATGTCCATCAATGATAGACTGGATTATATACACCACGGAATACTATGCAACCATAAAAAAGGATGAGTTCATGTCCTTTGCAGGGACATTGATGAAGCTGGAAACCATCATTTTGGGCAAACTATTGCAAGGACAGAAAACCAAACACTACATGTTCTCACTTATAGGTAGGAAGTGAACAATGAGAACATTTGGACACAGGGCAGGCAACATCACACACTGGGGCCTGTCGTGGGGTGATGGGGGGCGGGCAAGGAGAGGGATAGCATTAGGAGAAATACCTAATGTAAATGATGAGTTAATGGGTGCAGCAAACCAACATGGCACATGTATACCTATGTAACAAAACTGCACGTTGTGCTCATGTACCCTATAACTTAAAGTATTAAAAGAAAAACTTGCTCTATCATAGTTGTATGTATTTTTGAGGTACATGTGACACTTTTATACATATGTATAACTGGGATATACATCACCTCAAACATTTAAGGACAATTTTTGAAGACAGAGGATTTCACAGTACGAGTAGGATTCTACAGTACGAGCCACAGTTTCCAGGACGTTATCCTGATACAGGTGGACCAGACCAGCTCTGGGGAAAGGTGAGGGCTGTCCTTTATGGCCAGGCATTTCCTAAAATGTGTTCAGTTATTTTATGGGGTGAATTTGCTGGGAATCTCCCATGTAGTCGTGGAAGCCTTGTCCCTCACAGCCTAGAAACAAAGATGTCCAGGTCCGGTTTGCCTACCAGTCTGCCACCTGGCTGGAAAGTGACTGTCCCAGGTCTGCTGTGAGGAGTGGCCTGGTTTATGGGAGGGGGTCGTCTCCAGAGCACCTCTAGGGGAGGAGAGGTGAAGCCTCTTCTGTGGCAGGGGTGCCCACCTCAGCCCACTGTGGGCAGCTGAAAGACACATTTGAATGGACAACTTGGAATCTCAGAGCTGGAAGCGACCCTGAGAAGCTGCCCAGAATTTCAATGCCTCCATGGAGTGGACAACAGCCTCAAGAAAAAGAAACGAGATAGCACTTGCATGTGTGCACTGGACAGTCTCCAAGGCGCAGTGTTGAGCAAATGATGCGAAGTGTGGGAGGTGTGTGTGGGAGCCGCCATTTGTGTAAACAAAGCAAAGGATGCACTTGTTAGTAAATGCACGAACTACCTCTGAAGCGCGCACAGGCTAGTTGCCTCCAGGAGGGGCGACACAGGCAGGGGTGGGGGTGGGAGGGAGACTCGCTGCTGAATATCTTTTGTAATTTTAAACTTGAACCATCTGCATGTATTTCTTTTCCAAGAATAAAATTAAAACACACAATACACAAATCTATCTACTTTACCCTCCCATTTTCCTGATGATTGAAATGGAGACTAGAGAACGGCCGATGGTGAGCCATGGGGTTGGCACTGGAATACGGATCTTCCAACTTCCTCTCTCTTTGTCATCACTTCTCAGGACCTTCTGGGGTGTCTGCTGGCTCTTTGCACCCCGTGTTCCATGGGGATGACCTAGGTGGTAGAATGAGGAGGAGCCGCTCACAGGCTGAGCTGGGAGGAGGGCTCTCTAAAGCTCCCCATTCGGGCTGCTAAGCCTTCATGGATGGGTGCGTCCATTAGGAGGGGTAGGCCTGAAGCATGAGGCCTGAACTCACACAAAAAGCCAGTCTTCCTCTGCAGAGGTCAGACCGACCATGCTCCTGAGAGCATGGGGGTCTTGGGGGTCGTATGCAGTGGGGACATTTTTGGAGCCCATGCCATTTCCATCTGGTTGTGCTTTACATGCTTTCCATTCTCTTTCCAGATCCAGTGAGGTAACTGCTATTTCATAAATTCAGATGCTGTATCCCTTGCTGACCATTTCTTGCTGTTATCTATTTGGACGTCAACTTGGTCCTCTGGTCTCTCCCTGTAGATGCCTCCCTTTTTTGAAACCATTATCCACATGGCCTGAAAAACACAGTAAGTAACAAGACACGGTTAGCTACCTGAGCCATTGTTACAGAGACCCACATATAGAGTTTTCTAACGACTTTCTTCTTCTCAGGTCTGTGTTTTCAGTTTTTCTAAAATGGAGGGTTTAGGTATCTCTAATGACTTTTACTCCATTTCATGATGTTTATCAGGCATCTGTTATGTGCCAGACACTGTGCACTTACACTGACAACATTATTATTTTTTTAAAAGCACATTTACCATCTCTATTTCACAGAGAGGGACACTGAAGCTCAGAAAGACTGAGTGGTTTGCTCATGGAACAAACAGCGTGCAAGCAGCATATGTCCAAATCGCCATGGTCTCAGCCACTCCACTGGCATGCATGGAGGCTCTTCCTGTTTCCATACACCTGGCTGGAGGCCTCTCAGGGTACAAAGGACCTCAAAGGAAGGTGCCTGGTTCAGCAGGGTTGCAGGGGCTTCCTGGAGGACTCTTGGCCAAGGCTGGAACCATGCAGAGGAGTCGGGAAGGAAGGAAAGAGGAGGGGGCTTCCAGGAGGGCAGGCTGGAGGGGGTGGAGAGTGTGGCCTCTGTGGGGTTAGGTGAGGCTGGAATGGGGGAAATAACAGAGGGGAGCTAAGAAATGTGAGTTTCATCCAAAGACAAAGGGGAGCCACAGGGGGTTTTGAGTAGGGGAATGGAGGAGTCAGCTGGTCTTGAGATGGTCCCAGCAGGCAATGACCAAGTGCAGGGAGACTGTGGGAGACACCATGGATTCTGAGGGAGAGGATGGGGCCTGCAGCGGGCAGTAACCCTGGGCTGGGAGGAGGCACGGCCCTAATAATTGGTTAGGAGGGGATGTGGGGACTAATTGCATATGGGGTTCAGGGAAAGTTCAGGTAGGCACCCCATTCCTGGTGCAGGTGGGGAGAAGTGACCCAGTAGAGGTGGCGGGCGGGCTTGACCACTGGGCTGAGCTGTCTGTGCTGAGCAGGCATCTGGATTCCAGTCGGGACTCAGGGCAGAGACCAGACTGCTGGTCTGGGTTTGGGAGTCACCGGCAGGTGTGGGGGGCCCGGCTGCATTTTGGAATGGATGAATATGCCCAAGAGGATATTCAGAGGGTCAGGAGAGAAACAGGCCCAGGGCAGGCTCAGGTAGTGCCAACTGTTGGGATCTCATCGTGCAGCCTCAGCTGCAGGAAGCTTGAAGCGCGGGGACTGAGTGGAGCAAGGGCAGTGCAGACTGAAGGAAGGAAAGTGTGTGGCCAGGGCGGGACCCAAGACCAAAGGAGACTCTACTTACCAAGGATGGGGGCCTCCTCAGCCTGAGCTGATGCTGACTGGAGGGAGGCAAGGAGGAGGAGGAGGGATCCACGCAGGTCCCTGATGCCCTGTTTCTTGTCACAGCATCAAGGCCCGAGAGGCCCAGCTTCAGAGGCCGCTTATCGCAAAGCCTTTGACCCCCCTGCTGTTTCCACTCACTCTGTCTAGGATGTGGACCTTGTAAACTAAAAGGAAGATCCTAAGCCTCCCACCCACTGAATGGATCCCCTCATGGCCAAGGGGACCCCAGAAAAAAACTTAAAAAGCTGAGTTCCTAGCCATGATGGGGCAGGAGGTCGGACATGCCTCGTTTTCCCCCTCCCTTTTGTGGTTTAGACACAACTGACCAGCATTTGTGTTAAAATAGAGATCATAAGACTGACAGAACAGACTCTGTGTGGCAGTAAGACGTTAAATCATAAACCGGATTGACCTAAGGCCATTCCAGGTGAGGGGCAAGTCGTGTGCCCTCCACTTAAAGAATAAATGGTGTCCTAACTGATCAAGACTCACAACAGACTCTGTGTAAGTATGCAAGACGCAATCATAAAACTGGATTGACTCCAAGGCCATTCCAGGTGAGTGTCGTGTGCCCTCCACTTGGGAAAGAACAAATGGTGTCCCTAACTTCCACAGGTTTTCTTTTCAGCAGTAATAAACACTGGCTTGGAGATAAGCGATATTCAAACAGTTACAACTGGTCCAAAGCTCACAACACGTTTACTGAATCTCTGTTCCACCAAAGCCATAACTACAGCCACTGACAAGTGAGACCGACTCGCAAATCCCTCCCGACCGCGTCACCGACCATGACTGGGTCCCGAAGCAATGACAGAGGCTTAAAGTAGGTTTGGGGTTCTGGAAAGATAAGGGTTTTGATGATAGGGCCTAATTGTAATACATTTCAATGTTAAGTTTCTACCCTAAAGTGAACATGGGCCATTTGTTATATGGCTGTTTGTTCAATATGCATGCATCAGGACCATTCTCATAAATATTCATAGCTACCCTTGTCAGCCGCGAATATGTATGTTTAGCCAACCTCTTCAACATGAAGCTCCTCCTGCTTGTCTTCCTGCTTGTCTCTGGTCTTTGCCAGAGGTTGGGCTTCCCAGCCTGCAGGATGACCACCTCTCTGTGGCCATAACTCTTATAAAAACAGTCTCTTCTTTTCAAAACTTATACTTGTGTGACTTCAGTTGATACAATCTCTCCCCTTCAGCCTAATAGGAGGCAGGTGCTGCACTCCGTGCTGGGTGGCACCACGGTTGTCCTAAGATTACGTGGTGACATTTCTGCTTGCTCTTGTGTAGGTATAAACATGGGAGAACTGGCTGACCCTACAGAGATGAGAGTCTCTGCCAGGGAGGGCCTCCAGGTGAGGCAGCTTTGGTGGGAGGAGGGCCTTGCTGTGAGGGCTGCTTCCAAGGTCAGCAGGCACGCAAGGCTCCCTGAGCCCGGGGCCTCCTGGGAGCACTGCCTGCCTCTGTAAACACTCTGGTTCCTAAGCCCCAGCTCCCCAGCACCGCGCTCTGTCTCTTGTGAACGCTCTGGTTTCTTAGGCAGCTCTCTCACTGGCACAGGTAGCTGTCCCCTTGGCGTTGGTTTTCCTCGGAATAGCCCGACTTTATAACATTTATACATTTTTCTGTAGGATTGCGTTCACCAGCTATACATAACTAAATGTGATGGTTTATTTCTCCACTAAATGTGGTGTATTTCTATTTCTACGTAACACTTCGTACACAATGTTTTTATGTTAACTAACATGATTGAACCAGAAGCTCTCTTGTCTGATTGTGTGTTGACTTTGAGTCTTGGTCCTTCTACACCTTCTAGGATCCTTTGGGACCTCTTGGCTCCTGAGCTTAGACATACCTCTTGCTTGTGCTCTACCAGTGGCAGGCTCCCCATAACAGTGAGAGAAATGGGAAAGAAGTAGCTGACTGTCTGGCTTCTACCCTCACCGGCTGTCTTTGCTCATTCTTGCACATGGGCCAAGCTATGAGAGGAATTTGCTAAACTAAAGCAAAGGATGACAATAGTTCCTTTATAAAACTAACTCCCAAGGAGATAAATAGGGTGCACACACAAAGTAACAATGTTGTGTTAAGGATTTATAGAGGATTTGTAACCTGGACCATGACAAAAAAACATTTCACAACCTCCTCAGATCCTCATTGCTTCCAACATGTTCAGGGTCGGTCACCCTGACCTCAACCCCCTTCTTGTTCCCCCATTCTCAATGTAAAAGAGGCTTGGGATTCATGCCTTTAGGATGGTGAATAGGACACTAGTCACCATCTTCTTGGTTTGCTGACTTTGAAATAGTGAATTTCTTTGCCCTAGCTCCTTGCTCTTGATTTATTGACTGCCATGTGGTGAGCAGAGTGAGTTTGGACTCAGATACACCCCCACCCCCCAAATTCATATGCTGGAACCTAATACTCAATGTGATGGTATAGAAGGTGGAACTTTAGGAGGTGATTAGGTTATAAGGATTTCCCCCTCCCCCATGAATGGGAGTAGTGCCCTTATAAAAGAGGCTCCAAGGAGCCTCTGGCCTCTTCCACCATGTGAGGACACTTAGAAGGTACCATTTATGAGGAACAGGCTCTCACCCAACACTGAATCTGCTCGTGCTTTGATCTTGGCTTTCCCAGTCTCTAGAACTGTGAGCAATAGATTCGTATTGTTTGTAAATTACCCAGGCTAAGGTATTTGTTACAGCAGTCTGAACGGACTAAGACACAGTCTGAATCTTTAGGCCATTATAGCACATGCCTTTTAGTCCCTGCTCTGACACCCTGCTATCCCCTTTTCGTGTAAGGGTGTGTCCTTCCCAGGTGCTGTGGGGGCTTAGGCCTCACTCCTGCCACCTGCTCCTGGACCCCTCTGGGAGCAGAAGCTGCCTGGCCCAGAGCTACAATTTCTACCTCTCCGACTGCCTGTGACTCAGGTGCCAGGATGGGTGGGTGGAGAAATTAGGTGGAGTGGGAGGTACAAAGTCCCTGCCTCCTCCTTTCGCTCTTTTCTGGTGAGCACCCTCCAATAAACCACATGCACGTGAATCCCTGACTTGGCTTTGCTTCTGTGGACTCCAAATCATGATGTCCATTCTGGCTGACCCTACAGAGATGCGAGTCATTTTTGTTTCTCCAACTCCCTGGGGGCAGGGAACATGAACCCGGCATTTAAAAAAATATCTGAAGGGTCAAGCACAGTGTGGGAGCTCCGTGGAGTTCAGAGGTGGTGTAGACACTGGTTGAACAGCTGACTGCGTCTGCTTGGGAAAAGCCCACCTGAATAAGATGGTAGGTGATGATTTGCGGTCTTACTGTGCAGGGTGGTTCACCTGTGGGTAGCAGTTTGACCAGAGGGTGGTTGACTGTGGCGACCTGGAAGGGAGATGCAACCCAAACATGAAGCTGGAAAACAGAGTGGAGGCAGGTGACTGCGGCCCAGCTTTGGTGCTAAGTGGGAGATGGGGTAGGGACAAAATGGACATAACTAATCATTTCTTGGTGATTGCAGGAAACTCTAATAAGGGATTGGAAAGTGAGGCAGGCAGGGGAGGGAACCAATACCAGCATCATTCTGCAGTGACTGTGGTAGGTGACCAGGCCTCATCCCAGTAGGGACCTCAGGGACTCTGGAGACTGAGCACAAACCCAAGGGAATCCCACGTGAGGGGCATCCACCTAAAGAATCTCACATGAGGGTGTCACCTGAGTGGCATCCACCTGGGGAATCCACCTGAGGGAATCTACCGGAGAATCTCACATGAGGGCATCCACCTGAGGGTGTCCACCTGAGGAGTGTCCACCTGAGAATCCCCACCTAGGGGCATCCACCAGAGGGGCTCACCTGAGGAATCTCCTGGCAAGGTTGGGCCATAGGGGACATCTCCACAGGGCGTCCACCTGAGGGCGTCCACCTGAGGAATCCACCTGAGGAGAATCCCACCTGAGGAATTCACCGGAGGAATCACATGAGGAGTGTCCACCTGAGAATCTCAATGAGGGCGTCCACCTGAGGGCGTCCACATGAGGGTGTCCACCTGAGGGCATCCACCTGAGAATCTCACGTGAGGGCGTCCCCCTGGGGGTCATCAACCTGAGAATTGTCCACCTGAGGAATCCCACGCGAGGCGTCCACCTGAGGGGCGTCCTGAGGAATCACCTGAGGGCGTCCACCTGAGGGCGTCCACCTGAGGAATCCATTTGAGGAGAATCCACCTGGGGAATCCACCTGAGGAATCCACCTGAGGGAATCTCACATGAGGGCGTCCACCTGAGGCATCCACCTGAGGGAATCTCACATGAGGGGCGTCCACCTGAGGGCGTCCACCTGGGGGGCATCCACCTGAGAGGAATCCACCTGAGGGCGTCTACCTGAGGGTATCACCTGAGAGAATCTCATGAGGAGTACATCCACCTGAGGGCGTCCACCTGAGGGCACACACACCAAAGGGGAATCACCTAAGGGGCACATACACGGGTATTCACCTGAGGCACACACACAGGGGAGTCCCCTGAGAAGAGTCCATCTGAGGGTGTCCATCTGAGGAGAATCACACCTGAGAGGCATCTACCTGAGGAGGTGTCCACCTGAGGGGCATCCACCTGAGGGAGTCCCACCTGAGGGGTTTCCATCTGAGGGCATCCACCTGAGGGATGAAATGTGCACCTGAGGGCCAGGCATTCACTCTCGGGCACTCTAGCTGCCACGTGAGCTCTCAGCGGGCCCAAAATCCTATTTACAGGCGTTAGCGAAGCACCACCAGGGCGTGCAGATGGAGTGGGGCAGGTGAGCTTGGCCGACAGCGCATGTAGGGGATTTGGTCTTGTACTGAGCTCTAGCTGCCTTGGATTTCCTTTAGTTTCACACTTCCCTGTGGAATATGCATAAGCCCATTTCCATTTTTACAGACAAAAACTGACTGAGAGAGGCCAAGTTCCTTAAGCCCAAGGACACACAGCCACCAAAGTGGCAGGGTGGAGGTCGGAGCCTACATCAGCCTGGCCTGGAGCTCTTTTCCTGCCCCACTGAGCTGCTTGGCCCCAAGGTGGAGCTTCCCACGGTATGAAGGACGAGGCAAGCCCCAGTCCTCTGTGGACCACCCTTTCTGGCCAGTGTGACCGGGGCCCACACAATGCTGCAAAGGCCACGAGAGTGCTCCAGGGCCAAGCACCTGGACTCCTGTGGTGGTGCCCTGGGTGTTTCTCATCTTTAGGGCAGCTGTACCCTTCCCATGCCAGTGTCAAAGAGGCCTTGGGGTACCCCTTCACTCCCACATGCAACTTGTGAGCCTCACTTGTGGTCGGGAGAAGAGACAGGTGACTGATTCAAGGTTGCTTCTACACAGGAGGGTAATGAAATTCCCTGCCTGGCAACTTTCCATGGACCCTGGGAAGAGAAGACCAGGGAAAAGATTTAGCTTACTTTATTTAGATGGCTTTGCTTTGTTCGGAGAATTAATGGAAGATAGCTAAAAGTTCATTTATGAAGTATTAAAAGGATAATTATGATGGAGTAGTGCAGAGGTCAGAGAGCATTATGAGTGAACAGACTACAACCTGAGGGCTAGAGAAGACAGGCTAAAAATAGATTCAGCCAAGCGGCACAACATTCCCCAAATTCCACTGCTTAGTGAACGTCCACCTCTCTCCTGTTTTTTCTATTGTAATTAAAAGTGATATTGTAATTCAGTCCTTGGTTGGGATGTCAAGAGGCCTTGGGGTACCCACTTCACTCCACATGCAACTTGTGAGCCTCACTTGTGGTCGGGAGAAGAGACAGGTGACTGATTCAAGGTCGCTTCTACACAGGAGGGTAATGAAATTCCCTGCCTAGCAACTTTCCATGGACCCCTGGGAAAGGGAAGACCAGGAAAGGGTTAAACACTTTATTTAGATGGCTTTGCTTGTTCTGGAGAATTAATGGAAGATAAGCTAAAAGTTCATTTATAAGAGTATTAAAGGATAATTATGATGGAGTAAGTGCAGAGGGTCAGAAGGCATTATGGTGAACAGACTTCTAACCAGGGGCTAGAGAAGACAGGCTAAAATAGATTCAGCCAAGCGGCACCCAACATTCCCCCAAATTCCACTGTGGTGAACGTCCACCTCTCTCCCCTCCCTTTTTTCTATTGTAATTAAAAGTATTGTAATTCAGTCCTTGGTTAGGTCATCTGTGAACGTATAATTATAAATGGATCCGAAGAACTTAGAGTTTGAGGCAGATCAAATCGGTGACCTTTTAATAGCAACAAAATAAAAAAAAGATTTTGTAGAAAATCTGATTCAATCAGATTAGATGGAAAGTGGGTAAAGCTGATTACAATTCTACTAAAGACAGTATTTGGGCAGCATTTGCTCTAAAACAATAGCATTAATTCTCCTTTAACAAGTATTCTCTGGAGAAAAATTAATAATTAATGGGAACCCAGTTTCAACAGAGTGCAGGACATGGCGTGGGAGGAAGAAAAGGTGCCAGCTGTGGTCAGGGTCAGGAGGCACCTGAAGTCCTGATGTTTTGGGTTACATCTGAACACGTTTTGGCCTTTAAAAAAAGTAAACAGCTTGATTGGGGTATAATCCACATACCATAAAATTCATTATTTGTAAATGTACATGTGATATTGTGAAATATGCATATTTGGTCTTTGTTCTGTTTCCTGGCGTGCAACTCCTAACATCCTTGGAATCTCCAAAGTGATGTCTTTTTGTGTGCTAATGTTGACTGAGCATTTCAGAGGGGGGCTGGTCATGGAAAGAGCAAGGCAGGATTTCTTGATATTCTGTAACTTAAATACTTGATGTTGTTACGGACTGAATGTGTTCCCCCGAAATCTATAGGTTGAAGTCCTAATCCCCAATGTGATGGAATTAGGAGGTGATTAGGTCGAGAGGGTGGAGCCCTTGTGAATGTGATTAGTGCCCTATAAGAACAGACATGAGAGAACTCAATTCCTCTCTGTTCTCAGCCGGGGAAGAGACAATGTGAAGATGGTCAACTGCAAACCAGGAAGCAGGCCCTCACTGGACCCCAGATCTGCTGGTGACTGGATCTTGGACTGAGCCTCCAGAACTGTGAGAAATAAATGTTTCTTGTTTAAGTCACTCAGCCGATGGTTTATAAAATGTTATAAAATGTTATTTAAGTCACTCAGCTATAATTTTTTATAGCAGCCCAATCTAAGACAGATGAAAAGTTAACAATACTGAAACACTATGATATAAAATCAATACAGCTTGTTTACATGATAAGGGAATAAGAAGGGTAATAAAACAAAGACATTTGCTTCACACACACATACACACACACAGACCTGTTCGTAACATACAATGAGGGAGAAATACGACAATTACAGCCCTCATTTCTGTAACTGTCATGTGGTTATAGCTGGTATTTGTAGCTAACTGCTTTCACTACCCATTCTGTATTCCCTTTGCCCTCAGCAAGTATCTCAGCTGGTGGTGCTTTATCTGGTGGAGTGACTGAAACCTTTATTCCTGAGGGTCTGGGCCATTGGTAGTCCTGCCTGGCTTGGGTTATTGTAGTTTTCCAATGACTTTGATCACAGAGCATGGTAACACTAAGATTTCCTAAGGGATCACATGTATTCCAGACATTCTCTTCCTTGACTCCATTGTGAAGTAGCAGTCTAATTTCTCCTTGGTGGTCTGGATCAATCAGCAGAGTAACTCCCTTCTTTGCCTGTTGATTTAGAGGCATAAGGAGCCCCAGGTGGCAGGATTGCAATTTTAACTTCCAGTTCAATGGAATAATCATTGCGTCTCCTGGTGGAAACAGTCATCCCTCTGAAACTAGGACTTCTAGGCCAGTGGAGCATAAGTTGCTGGAACAGGAAACAAATATTTTGCTAATGCGTTATTGGGGATAATAGTGAGTGGTGCCACTCCCATCTCTACCCCTGGATTCCTGGACCTGTGAATCCTGGTTATGGGAGAAACAGCACTATATATTGAATGCTGATTCAAAACATATACAGCCTCATGGAGAACCTTGCCCTAGCCCTGCAAGGTATTGCCACCTAGCTGGTATTGTAACTGAGTCTTTAAAAAGCCACTGTACCATTCTCTCAAGTCAGCTGTTCAGGATAGTAGGGAACATGATAAGACCAATAAATTCCGTGAGCATGGATCCTTGCCACATTTCATTGCTGGGAAATGAGTCCCTTGATCAGAAGCAATGCTGTGTGGACTACCATGGTGATGGATGAGGCATTCCATAGTATTGATGATAGTTTGGGCAGAAACATTACATTTAGGGAAGATAAATCCATATTCAGAGTAAGTGTCTATTCCAATAAGATCAAAGCATTGTCCTGCCCCTTCCATGATGGAAGCTGTTCACTGTAATCAACCTGCCACAGATAGCTGGCTGATCATGCCAGGGCATGGTATCATACTGGGGGCTCAGTGTCAGTCTCTGCTGCTGGCAGATTGGGCACTCGGCAGTGACCATAGCCAGCTTGGCCTTGGTGAATGGAAGTCCATGTTGCTGAGCCCATGTGTAAGCTCCATCCCTGCCGCTATGGCCACCTTTTTCATGAGTCCATTGGTGATGGCAGGGAGTGCTGGGAAACAGGCTGACTGGCATCCACAGACTGGGTCATCCTATCCAGTTGATTATTAAAATCCTCTTGTGCTGAGGTCATCCTCTGATGAGCATTCATATGGGATACAACTATCTTCATGCTTTTTGCTCTTCAGAGGTCTATCTACATGCCTCTTCCCCAATTTCCTTGTCACTAATTTTCCAATTATGTTCCTTCCAAGTCCCTGATCATTGACCAAACCATTAGCTACGGCCCATGAATATGTATATAATCACACATCTGGCCATTTCTCCTTCCATGTAGTGTGCACAACCAGGTGCACTGTCAAGAGTTCTGCCCACAGGGAGGATTTCCCTTCACCACTGTCCTTCAGGGATGTCCCTTAGAAAGGGACTGTGGTGCTTCAGCCTCCACTTTCAGGTAGTGCCTGCCTATCGTGCAGAACCATCTGTAAACCAGGTCAGAGTCTTCTCCTCCTCTATCACCTGATTGTAGGGAACTCCCCATGAGGCCACTGGTCTGTCTGAAAGAGGGAAGACAGGGTAGCAGGAGTGGGAAGCTTGGGTATCTGGGCCACTTCTTCATGTAACTTACTTGTGTCTTCAGAGCCTGCTGAGGCCTGATCTTGTATAGACCACTTCCACTGGTGATGGAGTGCAGCTGTACATGCCCAAGTTTATGACTTTCTGGGTCAGATAACACCCAGCTCACGATGGGCAGCTCAGGGCACATGGTGACTTGGTGGCCCATGGTTAATTAAGTGTTCAGCCTGTACTAAGGCCCAGTGGCAGGCCAAGAGCTGCTCCACAAAGTGAGGGTAGTCATCCAAGGAAGATGGCAGAACTTCACTCCAAAATCCCAAGGGCCTCCTCTGTGATTCACATAGAGGGGCCTGCCAAAGACTCCACACAGCATCCCCATCTGCCACTGACACCTCCAGCAGCATCGGATCTGCTGAGTCACATGGCCTGCCTGGCAAAGCAGCTCGCACAGCAGCAGGGACATGTTTCCAAGCCTTGTCTTGTTCTGGGCCCCAATCAAAACTAGCAGCTCTTTTAGTTGCTTGGTACCTGGGCTGGAGTAGGTGCCCAAGTCAGGAATATGTTGCCCCCCAAATCCAGAGACCCACAAAGCATTGTGCATTTTTTTTTTGTTCTAGGAGGGGCCAGAAGAAACAATGCATCCTTCACTTTAGAAAGACCACTAGGGCCATAGAAATTTCACTAAGATAGAAGGCTCCTGAATTTTTGTTGGCTTTATTTCCCATCCTCTGACAGAGTCTTAGAAATAAGTCTAGAGTAGTTGCTCCTTCTTGCTGGCAAGGACCAATCAAAATGCCATCCATGTAACGGACCAGTGTGGCATCTTCTGGAAGGGGAAGACAACCAAGATCCTTCAGTTCACTTGTGAAATAAAGTGTGGCAAGGGGCTTGAGCATTGATACACCCTGAGGCAGGACAGTGCAGGTGTACTGCTGGCCTTCCCACTTGAAAGCAAACTGCTTCTGGTGGGCTTTATTAACAGGGAGGGAGAAAAAACATTTGTCTGATCAATGGCTGCATACCAGGTACCAGGAGATGTGATGATTTGCTCAAGCAATGAAAACACATCTGGTCCAACAGCTGCAATTGCAGTCACCACTTGGTTAATCTTACGATAAGCCACTGTCATTTTCCAAGATTTATTTGTTTTTAGCACATGCCAAATAGATGAGTTGAATGAGGTTGTGGGATGTGGTGGGAATCATCACCCCTGCATCTTTCACCCCACCCCACTTTTTTTTTTTTGTTTTGAGACAGAGTCTTGCTCTGTCACCCAGACTGGAGTGCAGTGGTGCGATCTTGGCTCACTGCAGGCTCTGCCTCCCAGGTTCACACCATTCTCCTGCCTCAGTCTCCGGAGTAGCTGGTACTACAAGTGCCCCCGCCACCACGCCTGGCTAATTTTTTTGTATTTTTAGTAGAGACGGGGTTTCACTGTGTTAGCCAGGATGGTCTCGATCTCCTGATCTCATGATCCACCGGCCTCAGCCTCCCAAAGTGCTGAGATTGCAAGCATGAACCGCTGCGCCCGGGCTTTTTTGTTTCCTTTTCTTTTAAGAGACAAGGTCTCATTCTGTCACCCAGGCTGGAGTGCAGTGGAACCATCATAGCTCACTGCAGCCTTGAACTGCTGGGCTCAAGTGATCTGCCCACCTCAGCCTCCCAAGTAGCTGGGACCACAGGCAAATGCCACCCTGCCTGGCTGATTTTTAAATTTTTTGTTGAAGCGGGATCTCACTCTGTTGCCTAGGCTGGTCTTGAACTGGCCCCAAGCAATCCTTTTGCTTCAGCCTCCCAAAGTGCTGGGATTACAGGTGTGAACCACCTTGCCCAGCCCTAACTCTCTTTTGATGGTGGCACTAATCTCTGCTATCCCTCCAGGAATGCGGCATTGCTTTTGGTTTACTACTTTTTTAGGCAGAGTCAGTCCTAGTGGCTTCCACTTGGCCTTTCTCATCACAATAGCCCTGCTCCACAGGTCAGGGAGCCAATGTGGGGATTCTGTCAGGTGCTAAGTATGTCTATTACAATAATCCATTCCATGACTGGGAAATAACTCCAGGATGTGTTTGTGGACTCACTGAGCCCACTGTGGGATAAACCTGACCTCTGAGTTGTGGGCCACAGTGATGTTTTGGCCTCCTGGAACTAGTGTTACCTCAGAGCCAGTATCTGTTGGTCTCTGAAGGCCTGATGATCTCCTTTTCCTCAATGCACAGTCACAGTGGGAAAAGGTTTTTGAGGAGCCATCACACTGGTTTCCATAGTGACTGCAACATTTTACATTCCCACCAGCAGTATGCAAACGTTCGTTTCTCCACATCCTCATAGCCATTGTTATTTTGTTTTTTGGGTCATTTTTAAAATAGTCCTATCCAAATGGGTATTAAATGTTATTTCATTGTAATTTTTATTTGCATTTCCTTAATGATTAGTGATTTTTGGCATCTTTTCAGATGCTTATGGACCATTTGTATATCTTCTTTGGAGAAACGTCTATTCAAGTCCTTTGTCGCTTTTGAACTGGTTTACATTTGTTGTTGTTGCTGGGATATAGGAGTTTTTAAAAATTTAATTTGACATTAACCCCTTATCAGATATGTAATTTAGAAATATTTTCTCCCATTCTATGGGTTATCTTTTCACTCTGTTTTAGATAGAGTCCTTCGGCGATAAAATTTTTACAGTTTGATGTAATCCAATCTCCTTTATTTTTCTTTTCCCTGTGCTTTTGATGTCATATCCAAGAAATTGTTGCTAAATCCAATGTCATGAAGGCTTTTGGCTTATCTTCTTCTAAGAGTTTTAATGTTTTAGGTCTTATATGTAGGTCTTTGATCCATTTCGAGTTAATTTTTACATATGTTGTAAGGTAATGTTGCATATCTTTTGCATGTGGATATCCAGTTTTCTCAACACCATTTGTTGAAAAGTTTGTCCTTTCCACATTGAATGTTCTTAGCAC